GCAGAGACGGGAGCAGAGATGGGGAGCAGAGATGGGGGACAGAGATGGGGAGCAGAGATAGGGGACAGAGATGGGGGACAGAGACAGAGGAGCAGAGACAGGAGCAGAGACGGGAGCAGAGATGGGGAGCAGAGATGGGGGACAGAGACGGGGAGCAGAGACAGGAGCAGAGATGGGGAGCAGAGATGGGGGACAGAGACAGAGGAGCAGAGACAGGAGCAGAGATGGGGAGCGAGATGGGGGCAGAGATGGGGGACAGAGATGGGGAGCAGAGACAGGAGCAGAGACTGGGAGCAGAGACGGGGAGCAGGGACACAGCGGTCTCAGCCCGTCTCTGCCGTCAGTTCTGGGCAGGCAACACTCCCGGTTGTATCAAAGCTAATCCTCTCTCCTGTCATGTGCTCCTCCTTTTCTTCTTCTCTCTCTCTTTCTTTCTTTTTTTTGGGGGGGAGAGGCATTTAATATATACATAATTTTTTAAGCCACCTTCATGGAGTATGTTAGGGTATTAGTTTAAAGGGGCACCAGAGCATTATTCTTGACTTTGGATTGAACCATCAATTTTGACAAAACTATTTTTTGACAAAACTCTAGGCCATTTAAGCAAAAGCCCAGGGATGCATAGCCCCTGAGATCTGTTCTTGTGATAAAATTCCAAGATTCCCTGAGATTCCAATCACATCACAGACTCCCCCCCAAATCTCCTCACAGCATCATCATGGGAGCAGCAGGAGGGAGTGTGTCCCCTCACCTGTGGCCAGGTGATCAGCCTGCATGCCCCTTCTCTGGGGCCTGGGGTCTGTCCACTCAGCCACACTCCTCACATATTTCTCCCCTGGTGATTGATCTATTCCGGCCGCCATTCCTGAGAACATCATAAACACTGTCCGACATTTCCAGCAGTCACCTTGAGGTTCTCACAGCCATAGCGGCCAGGGCATCCGTCTTAAAGAAAGACTGTTGCTGTCTTTGCCGTGATCGAAAATAGTCTCTTCCAGCCCATAAAGTACAGGCTACAAATTCATAACATGCACCGCCACCTGGCCACATGTCTGCCCGCAGCAGAATGCCAAATGTGTGCAGGTACGTGCTGTGTCCCCTGTCCCCAGCTCCTGCAGGCAGTGCGGGCAAGTGACCGTGCTGAGAGGCAAGGAGGGGATCAGCCGAGGAAACCGTCTGTAAGGCTCACCGAACATAAGGCAGTGTCTCCATCCTCACCCCAAATCCAGCTGTCTCTGCAAAGAAAACCCTGGGGTGATGAGTGCCTGTCTGGTCCCCAGAAATCCCTCAGGGTCCCGTCCCCCTGCATTCCTCTTGCTTCCACCTCTCGCCTCAGTTCCCTGCGGTCCCTTCACTAATGACCCAATTCGTCAGAACCCCCGTCTGGTCAGACCCAGTGTCTGCTCAGAGGAGTCCAGGTTTTGTTTTCAGATTTAACCTAGAATTTCAGGGTTTGGGGGGGTCAGGAGGTCACTCCCAGCACATTATTCACCTCTCAGGCTTTTATAAAGTTCCAAATAAAACTTAACTTTGAGATATTATGCCATCTTGAGCCCAAGCCAGGATGAAATCAATTGGGAATGTCAAAGGCAGATGAAGGGAAGCCAAAGACCTTTTTTTTTTTTTTTTGTCTAAAGAAGGGAAAGTGCACACAGGTGAGTCTGAAGGAGTGAGGAAATGGGGAGTCTGTGGCATCCAAGAGGTAAACACAGTGCTCAGCCTGAGACCCTGCTGCCTCAGGCTCCCGGGTCCCTGGCCTCGGTCCTCATCAACAGCCATTGCCAGCCCCCAAGACTGCCGTGTGTGTGCACTGCCCACCTATCCCCTGTGGGCCTCTGCACAGCTCCCCACATGTCAAGAGCCCATGGGGGGTGGCTGTGTGAAGGCAACAGAAGCTAATCTTTGAAAGGTTCATAGTGGGGGCTGTCACCGTGAGAAGGCAGTCAGCTGGTTCTTGTCCCCAGCCTCTTGTACTCCGGGGGACTGTCCCGCCAGAGCTGGGACTGCCTGGCCAAGCTCTCTCACTGCACCTCTGTTAAGAAATGGCAACCTTGGCTTGGCAAGAGCGCAGTGGTTACCGCACTAGCCACATGCACTAAGGGTGGCGGGTTTGAACCCGGCCAGGGCCAGCTAAACAATGACAACTACAACAAAAAGTAGGCATTGTGGCTGGTGCCTGTAGTCTCAGCTACTTGAGAGGCTAAGGCAAGAGAATTGCTTAAGCACAAGAGTTGGAGGTTGCTATGACCTGTGATGCCATAGCGCTCTATGAAGGGCGACATAGTGAGACTCTTGGTGATCTTTGGAAAGTCATCAATGACTTGTATATTTAGAGGAATCTCAACCAGAATTATACATGAATACGAAGCACCATGCATCTTAGCAGTAACGTCGTGTGTGCGTGTACCCGCTGTACTGGAGTCACCAAGCCGCATCACTAGTGAGCCTCGACTTGAGGAGTCTGCCCTGTGGGAAAGTTGGATGATTAGCCCACGAAACTTAGAAGACTGTGATTGTTGTAGCTGAATAGGGAGGCAAGGAGAGGGCTCCTTCTGTTTCTAGAATCTGCATTCTAGTTCTGGATGTAAAAATTATGTAAGAAATGAACTTCATAATTAAAATATGATAATAAGTTAAAGTACTTTGCAGGATTCTTTGGGAAACATGACATCCTGATGCGCAGAGATCCCAGATACACACTGTGTGATTTCCCTCACCATTGGCCCCAGCAGGTGGGAATTTGGCCCCTGCCTGCCCAGGACAGCAGCTGTCCTGAGTTTACAGCATCAGGGGCCTCACCTGTGACTCGCTCCCATCTCAGCCTCCAGACTCAGCACTCAGCCCTGCTGGTACCTTTTCTGGCTCTTGTGAATTTGGACAGGCGACATGCCGGGTCTCCGTGATGGTGCTGCCAGGTCGTTGTTTGTTATTTATTCCACAGTTAGATTTCTGATTTCTGACTCGACACCCTTACGCTGCATTTAGGTAAGGGTAATCCTCGTTTGTTACCATCTGTCTTTACACAGACATGCCTGAAAATCTTGTGCAGTTTTATTTTTTGTTATCTTTTATAATTGATGCTGCAATGAGGGCTAGGAAGCTTCTGCACAAAAAGCAATGAGGAATAATCGTAGTACTCACTGCAGTGACCACAGGACTGTGGGTGCAGAGCACAAAGTCGCCACCTAGGCTGGGGTGGCATTCTCCCGGTCACCACAGCACCAAGCCATAAACCCTCCTCCTACTTTACACATAAGACCAATGTGGGCTCAAGCTTAAACAAACTTTCCAAGGAAGCAGCAGAGCAGATCCAGGGCAGGTGATGCTTTAGGCCAGGTTAGGGTCCCTGTGAGCCCTGGTGGTGTCCCTGCTGATCTCCAATCTCGTGGTGCCTCGTCTTCCACAGCTCAGAGAAACTGGCAGGCCCTATGGCACAATTTATCCTCCCAGCAACTCAGCTCCCCTACAATGACAAGGACCCTCACCAGAGAGGACAGTTGCAGTGAGCCAATAGGGCAGCTCAGGGCCCAAAAGGCGGGCTCTCTGCTGCAGGCCATTTTATCTGTCATCGTTTCATCTCATCCTCATTTCTGGGTCTGTGTATGTGGTTGATGTAGTCACTTAACAGACCCAGAATGGACCTTTTCCCAGACCTGGTAACACTCAGATCAAATAGTAATGGCCACTTTTTAAAAACTGTTTCAAATATTCCTCAAGTAAGGTCACAATGTGTTAGAGACATTGGACCAGAGGGCCCCAGTGCTGACGTCGACCTCTGGTGTGGAGACAGGTGGTCCTGGGAGTGCCCTTCCCCCTTCCTCACTGTCTGGATCCTGTTAAGTAATTTACAGCCAATTCCATTATTTCCCTTGACACTCTTGCTACAGAAGCTCTCTTTTAGAGAAGGGATTCATTCTTCAAATGTAATGTTATTTTAAATATTGTACAGGAGTCCATCCTCTCTCTAAAATAAAGAATGAAGAGTTATTTGTAATTCATTTCCCCAACATCCCTGCCTTCTAATCAAAATCTCCCCAGGTCCCACAGACCCAGAGAACCACCCAGCACCTGTCTGGTGGGCTTAATTAACCAATTCATGTTTGCACTCGTCAAGGGACAGAAAGGGTCAAATTGCTCTATTTAATACAATGTATAACACGGGGTCTCAAACCCAAAACCACTGAGCTTGGGTGCAGCCAGTGGGAACTGGAATCTGCATTCTAGTTCTGGATGTAAAAATTATGTAAGAAATGAACTTCATAACTAAAATATGACAAGTTAAACTACTGGGAAACATAACATCCTGATGAGCAGAGATCCCATATACACCCTGTGTGACTTCTGACGCTAGAAGACTGTGGACATCGTTCCAGGTATCGTGTTAAGTTGATACTGACTGTGGTTTAACGCTTTGCTTGTTAATTTGCGGGTGACTTGTAGATCTGCAGGGCTCGGGGTCATCTGTGTGTCTTACAGTTGAAACTCCCAGAGGAAAACAGTTAGTTATTCATCCTTTGAACAGCAGAGAAACTGGTGTCAGCTCGCTCTGAGTGGCTTCCTGACGTGACGCCCTCTGCCCCTGGCTGACCCCTCTGTCCCGGTGCTAACACTGTGCTCTGTGTCTTTTCTACCTCCCTGGATACAACAGTATTGTGGAAGCAGATCATCGAGCGCAATGGTGGGATCCTCTCCAACACCCTGAACATCAGCTGTCTGGCCAAGATCACCGACGGCTTTACCCAGAGACACATAGTGGAGGTCGTTAAGGAGGTGCTCACAGACAGACGAGTCCGGCAGCAAGCTCAAAGGCCACTTACTGCAGCCGAGTTCACTTTGGTGATAACCGGCATCAACCCAGTGTTCAGAGAGGAAGAAGAGACCCTGAAGGTAAGCCCAGGCCGGATGGCCAAACCCCGCAGCAAACCCGCATCTCGTCACCTCCTCCCTCCGGTCTCCTGGGTGTCATGAATTTGAACTGTGCCATGGATGATGAAATTTGAAAGCTTGGTTATTTTTGGATTATAAAATCTTTTGAGCTGTGGCAGGAAAGCATGTGTCTGCCATGTTTTAGGAGAATCATGATTTGTGACCTTAGAAACTAACAGCCAAATTGCAGAACTAAGCAGCAGCTCCAGTCCACGGGGTCCTGACATGCACATGCACACACAGGCTGTCGTCACGACGCTTCGTATCAGGGAACATGCTGCATAGATGAAACCATTCCCTAAATTGCAATTTCAAACTCCTGCTGTTTTGTCCCATATTTGCCACTTTTCCGTTTTCAGTTCATTTGCAATAGGAAACCACAGAGAACTCACCAAAATTTAGTTTTCCAATGTCTGCATATTGGAAACATTGGAATATTCTGAGATATTCACAGAACTTTCTAAACCTGGAGGGAACTTTGAGAATCATCTCTTCCAACTCCCCCTTTTATGAGAAGACACAAAGTTGATGAGAGTCACCTGCTTCTTCATTTACAGAAGTGGCCCAAGACACAAGCGCGGGTGGAGCCCTAGGCTTGATGCCAAACCAGTGCACCCTCCTCAAACTGCACCTGCTCTTCATTTGGGTTTTTTGTTTGTTTGTTTTTTCTTTTTGCAGTTTTGGCTGGGGCCGGGCTTGAAGCCGCCACCCCCAGTGTATGGGGCCAGCACCCTACTCCTTGAGCCACAGGCACCACCCATCACCTGCTCTTCTTTAAATCAAGATGAATTCAGTGGTGTCCTCTTTCTGAACATAGTTGCCTTGACCAAGGCCAAAGGCAAGGGAAGAACATTACATCCACTGAATTAAAGGCTGCCATAGCATTGGTGGTGCAATCACCAGAAACAGGGTTGAAAGTCTCAGTCAAGCCTCTCACCCCTGGGAACTTGCTTAAGATGAAGAAAATTGCCCCACACAACGTATCATTTTCCTACCAAGTCTATAAACTGTGTCTGTCCTGGTTTGCCCCTAATGCTTCAGTGGAGGTAGAAATTAGCCATAATATGATTCCAGCAATAATGGTCTATGACAGGGGTTGGAAAACTATTACCTTCAAGGTCCAGATAGTGAATATTTCAGGTTTTGAAAGTCATGCAGTCTCTCTCACAACTATTCAACTCTGCATCATGATACCAAAGCCTCCATACACGAAACAGAAATGAAGACGTATGGCTGGGTTCCAATAAAACTTTCTTTGCAAAAGCAGGCAACAGGCCAAATTTGGCCCATCAACTATATTCTGCTGTCCCCTTCTCTATCAAAACTGAAAAAAAAATATTTTTAACTCCAGCTGAGTTTTTGCTAAACATCTGGATTAATATTCTTACTATTTAAATCTTATTCATCATAATTGCAAATATTTTTCTGCTTCAATGATGTATTACATGTTTTTTTCTGAAATTCCCAACTTTTTTCTTTCTAAAAATATTAACTTTTCTCCTTATATTGAGGATTTAGATTTAGGATGTTAAAACCGGCTCAGTGCCTGTAGCTCAAGCAGCTAAGGTGCCAGCCACATACACCAGAGCTGGCAGGTTCGAATCCAGCCTGGGCCTGCCAAACAACAATGACAACTACAACCAAAAAATAGCTGGGCGTTGTGGCGGGCACCTGTAGTCTCAGCTACTTGAGAGGTCAAAGCAGGAGACTCACTTAAGCCCAGGAGTTGGAGATTGCTGTGAAGCCATGGCACTCTACCCAGGGCAACAACTTGAGGCTCTGTCTCAAAAAAAAAAAGGATGTTAAAACCTATTCTTTCTCTTAGCTGGGTTTTTAACTTTCCAAAGTGATCTCTAGAGGTTTTCCTATTTGGCATTATAGGTCTGATTATACTATTCCAGAGAAGGAAATACTATCATTTTATGACCTGGGATGAGAATGTACATGTTTTGCACACCCATTCTTGGCGTGTCTTACCCCTTTATTCATGTTTTAAGAAAATGAATCATTTTCTCAGCACTACCCTTTCCCCACAGGCCACATCTGCTTCCATCTCAGTCCTAGTACTCAGCACCACACCTAACCCCAAGTGATATTCAGTAAGCTCATTTAGGGACACATTTATTGAGCAGATGGATGGATGGAGTGACACCATCACACCCTTGAATAACGTGATACCATTGCTGTAGTTGCTTATAATGAGGAAAGCCCTGAGAAATTTTACCTAATCATCCTCCTGACAATGTATCAGACTAAGGTCTTGCAGATTCTCCAAGCACATTCTACACTCCTCCATGGATATGATGAAGAAAGTATTTAACCATAGTAAGGATACAAATTATAAAAATGTCAGCTAATACTGACCTACTGCTCACTGTGCGCCAGCCACTATCCACTCACCTCGGCCTCACCAGCTAATACTGACCGACCGCTCACTCTGCACCAGCCACTATCCACTCACCTCGGCCTCATCAGCTAATACTGACCGACCACTCACTCTGTGCCAGCCACTATCCACTCAGCTCAGCCTCATCAGCTAATACTGACCGACTGCTCACTCTG